TAAACCCTCAACCCATAAACCCTCAACCCCTATATCCTAAACCCTCCAACCTGAAGTCCGAAGCCCTAAACCCTAAGACTCCGGCTTCGGCTGCGGTGCAAGGCTCAGAACCCTAAGGGTCCCAAGTACATAGATAGTACACTTTACGTGTAGGGTCTAGGGCTTAGGGTTTAGGTAGAGTGTAGGGTTTCGATAGTAGGAAGAACCCGATAGGCCCCTCGGGTTCGGGCTTAGGGTTCAGGTTCTGCGAAATCGGCGCAGGGCTTAGGCATGGGCTTCGGGGTTAAGGTGGCTCGGGTTTAGGTTTTCGGGTTCCGATTTCGATTCAATGTGGTGAATAGGAGTGCGAGGGTCCAGGTTTCAGGATTGACGGCGTAAGATGCGGCTTAGGGGTTTCGAGGGCTTGATCGAGTGTTTTCGGCTCAGGGCTTACAGGCTCTCCGTAAAAGTGTAGGGTTTAAGGCTTGAGGGCTTAAGGTTCAGGGTGTTGCAAGTCGTCGGTCTCGAAGTGTTGGGATTTGGGGCTTCTAGAGATTCGAAGGTTGGGGGCATTTTGGTGAGGGTCTATGGGGCTGACTTAAACTCTAGCCACCCAAACCCTCAAGCCATCGAACCCATCCACCAAAGCCTCTGTCGCAACTCGGAAGGTCGCAAAAGCACTACAAAGGTAAACCCCGGATTTGCTGCTTGAGGATTTGGGGGTTTTAGAACGTCGGGCATAGTTCGTTCTCGAGATTAATCCGCGGCCCTGAATCCAGTCCTTGTGGCGTCTTTCGGTCCTTGAATTTCTTGAACTCCTGAAGCTTGTGCATTCCAGACTCCGGAAACAAGTCATGCAAAGTGACGAAAGTCTCCAATACCGGTCTGATCCGTTATCCAACCTCTCCATTCGCTATTTAAGCTTTATTCTTGCTAGAAGGGGCCGAGTACTTGAGGGATGGTGGGGCTTCGTAAGCGGTTTCACGCTTGGCCAGTGTATCTACTACAAAGCTGCTCATGTCCTACGGGTCTGGCTAAGCTCATGGCAATTGGCTGTGCGTTTTCGTGGAATGTGGAGTTGCAGATCGACCCGTCTAGGGATTCATGACCTGTGCGGTACAAGGATTCCTGGGCTTATCGCTTAGCTTGCACATGTTTACACATTGAGGTCGAGCACGTTCGGGCACTACTTTGGTGGCAACTCTTATTCTTAGTAGTAGACAATGAACACTTTAGATCCTGAGCACTATAACACTGAGCCCTCAAATCGCAAAGACCTGAACCGTTACCAAAAGCCAGCCGTCCAGAATCGACACTTCACTCAAGCTACAGCGCGCCTCCTCCGAGTTTTCCACCATTTTTTTAATGTCTGGCGAAGGTATGAACCGGAACGGAATCGCGACCTTCGGAATGCGGATCAAGATAGCAAGGCTTTGGGGTTGTACCTGGTGCACTTGTCCATTTCATGTCAGCCTTGATTTAGGCTTCAATGTATAGGATGTCAACCCCAAAACATGTGGCACCCTACACCCTCATCACCTGTGGTTCGAAATACTCGCAGACGGCACAGCATGACCGCGCGAGCGAGCAGAAGAGCGGTAATGCAGTACTGTTGGTATTTACCTGGCGCCTACAGTATGCATCCATGTACAGCCCTTCATGAAAATCTCCGCTCGATCGGTGGAAGAGAAAGATCTTTACAAAACAAGAACCACTTATTACTTCATTTTAAAATACAGACCTTAAATCCCAGCATCCTCATCATGAACTGCTCAACCCTAACCGCCCCTGAACGAAGACCTTTTGGAACCAGGAGCTTGCACCAACCCCCGACACTACCACCCACAAACCCAAAACCTCCCTAAACCCTTTTTTGCATCAGGACTAACCCTCTATCCTCTCTACCAATATTGACGCTACCTTGCCAGAAGCTGTGCAGCTCGTTGAGGCAGCGCGCACATCCAGCTCCTGGGTTCTTGCTTTGGAACTTAATTTAGAGAGAGAGAGAGAGAGAGTTTAGGGTTTCGGGGCTTGAGGTTTTTTTGCCTCGGCATTGCTGAGCGAATCACTGGGCAGGGTAAAGACAAGAACCCTCGTGAATGCGCATGCTGTCCCCAGACGGCCTCACGTCGATACTCAACAGGAAGGTGTAGGGTAGCGTTAATTTAAAGCCTGTAGATTCCTATTATTATGTTAATTTAAAATAGGTGCCTTAAGAAGAACCCCCGGCTCCTCATTGCCGTATGTCCAGCAGAAGTTACCTGAAAGTCCAGGGCTTGAAGGCTTAGGGGCTTTAGGGTTTCGGGGGTTTGGGGCTTGGGGGTTTGGAGTCTAGGGCCTGGTGATTTAGTGGTTTGGGGTTTAGGGGGCTTCGACCTCACAAACTTGCACATGCCCGGCGTGGTGTCTGAGCAGAAGGCCCACGTTTAGCTGTCATGCGACCTTTTCTAACCACACCAGAAAGTCTGAACTTAGTGACCTTGCGCTACAGACAACGTCCACACGTGAGAAAGTCAAAGTAGCCTTGAAAATCCAGGGCTCAGACAACTGATATATGGTGTGTAGAAGAGCTTACAGGATTACAGTACGTTAGAGAGGTTTTTTCTAGGTTTTCATTCTAAACCTCAAAATAGAGTTTGTAGGGACCCTGCGGGAAGTACGGTCTGGTAGGTAGGGCTTGTGATGGCAAATTTGCTGGGGGAAGCCGCCTGCTTGACGCTTTTACCGACCAAACACATCTTTGGCTCCTCTTGTCGATTAAACAGCAGCTGTGAAACACGAACCCCATGCAAATGACCGAAAGTCCAAAACCGCTTGGGAATATACCAGAGTCATCATCCTCCCACACTGTCTCGACCGGGATGGCCTTCCAGGGCAGTTTGTGCAATGGCCGTTGGAGTCCAAATGCGGCTTTGAGGCTTTCGGGTCTGCGGTCTAAGCTTTAGAGTTTGAGAGGATTCGCTTTGTCTTGTGGGTTCTTTTCGACTGCTGAGGGCCCTGGCTGAAGGATTACAGCTCGAGGCGTCATCCTGTTGGTGCTGGCTGTTATGCCTGCGCAGTGCCTTGGTGAACTCAACCACAAGGTGCTGAAACCCTAAACCCTAAACCCCAGGATCCTCCAGTGAGGAGTCCTACCTCATGAAGGGACATATGAAACCTCTGGGGAGTCCTTGAGACCGCAAACGTTTCAGGGAATCCGGCAGAGTGTGGGGTGTCGGATTTGGATTCAAGGTACAGCTTCTTCACTTGCAGAATGGAAGCAAGGGGCTCTACCAGGTCTCAGGAGGTGTGGCTTCGCAGGCCTAAAATGTGCGCCCTCGACGACCCCCTGCCTGTCCATCATAGGCAGGTTCCCTCCCTCCCCTGAAAGCCACTCTAATGCCCGTTTAACCCAAAGAAGAGACAGGGCGGAGTATGTTATGCGGACGCGGGGGGAGAGGTGTGTCCAACGCTGACACATGTAGTAGTTTTAGTTACGCATCGGGCACATGTCCACCTTTAGGCAACCAGAATCCAGAAGGCCTTGACACGGATCTTGGCAATAAAAGGACATTACTCTTGCCTGAGGACGGACACCAGACTGTAACAACCTCATGTACGAGCTCCGCGTTTCGGGCTTTGTTCTTTCTTCCCCTGCCTTCACTTTGATATGTGTGTGTTGTATTGCTGATTCTTTCTTCATGTCTTTATGATTCTTTATGTCAGTCCTTCTTTGTTTCCGTTGTTTATGTATCTACTTCTGCGGTTTGTTCGTTATTCGTTTGATTCTTGAGTTGCTCAATCATTCGTTCTTTCTGTCGCTAGTTCGTTATTTGCCATGTAGTTCCTTATGTCTTATGTATCTAATTCGGGACTTTGTTTCCTTATGTAAACATGTATATGCACATGTATATGTATTCGCATCTATATGCGCGTATGTGTGTTTGTTTGTTCGCTTGTTTGTTGGCTTGCTTGTTTGCCTGTTTGCCTGCTTGCTTGCATGGCTGTTTGTTTGTTTGTTTTTGTTTGTTTGCTTGTTTGTATACACACATACATGTACATGCGTGTATGTGTGTGTGTGTGTGTGTGTTTGTACGTGTGCATGTTGTTTTGCATGTGTGTCGTTCTTCTTGTGTTCCTTCCTGCTTCCTCTCCTGGTTCTTCTCTTCGTTGCCTCATTCGTTCGTGCATTTCTTGCTCCCTTCCTGCCTTCCGTCCGCCACCGTCCCCACCTTGCCTTCTTCTTCCCTTCCTGTCACTCACCTCCTACCACACCTGCAAAGAAACAAGGGCCCAACAAAAATGGATTGTCGAATTAACCCCACAAGCTTTGGGAGCCTGTTCTTTCACCAAATCCGCTTGGATAGTTATTCTCAACGCTGGTTCATGGAGGTCGCCGCCCTGTGCTGTGTTCGTCGTGCGCTTTTGAGGTCTGTAGGGGCAAAAACACTTAGAACAGGTGCTTAGATATACTACTGGGGTGAGACTTGAAGATACAATGCGAATGACTTTACGCCCTTTACCATGCAGTCTGGAGCCGCATGATCTTCGCAATGTTAAGCTAGGTTCAAACCCTGAAGCCCTGTTCAAGGTCAAGGCACTTTCTAAAAAGCAGAACCCTCTTTTGAAATCCTGAGGCTCTGACAAAAAATCTCTTTGAACATCCTGAGGCCCTAAACCCTAAACCGTCTTGAGGACCCAAGTCGTTCCCAACTTCAGCAACCGAAACCTTTCAGTTATCATCCTGGCACCCTAAGTTGAGTGCTCATCCCACTCCCAACTCCGCCTCAAGCCCAACGCTAAATTTTTGTACCCTATAACCGCCACAAAGCTAAGCAAAACCTTACCCCAAAGAGCAAGACCAAATCCCATTATTCCCACAACAACTATTGCTGCTACTGTTATTGTTACCATTGCTATTAGTAGTACTACTACACTTCAATCTTACTAGTATTTTGTAACTATTTCTACTACTCTTGCTGCTATCTTTATGACTGCTAGTTATTAGTCTTTAGGATAGTACGTTCTTAACATGTGATTGTTATTACTATGTCGTTGTCATTCATACTAAGAGTAGCAACGGAATTAGCAACAGTATTGGTATTAGCATTAGTATTGGCATTGGTATGAGTATTGGCATTAGTACTAGTAATGGTTTTGTTAGTGTTTTATCAGTTGCAAGCATTAGTAATATGACTATAATTGTTATTCTTGCTATTAGTAGTGGTATTCTTCTCAGTAATGCCGGTGTTCATCTTGCTCTTACTGATTTTATTGTTTGTGTTGTTGTGAGTTTGTCATTACAAACAGAGATTCAAGCCCAGCCTTCTCTTGATGGGCCCGCTGGGCAGGAGTCTTGCTTGGCATAGTCACCTTGTGCAGGTCTCCCTCCTGGGAAAAGGAGGTTGAAGGTTTTGGGTTTAAAGCTTGGGGGGTTTAGGGTTTGATTAGGGAAGATATTAGACGGCTTGTGTATTACCTGAGTATGTAAGGAGGACCTGAGGTGAAGGCGAAGTATCACGAATTAACGCAGTGCGTTGACCGCTGCAGCCCTGCAGAGCCCTGTAGCAGTACCAATCAGGTGCTACCAAGCCCCAGTCAAAGCAACACTTAGACCAGAACCTCAAACGCTATACGTCCGGAATTTTCCTGAAACCTCCCAGCGCTGCTTGCAATGTTACGGGGCAGGCCCACAAGCAGGCATAGTAGGGACTGTTCAAGGGATGCTTACTAACCTAATTATTTCCACCCTAGAGTAAGTAGATTACCCTGGTCATGTCTTTGTGGTCACACAGCCTGTCCACGAAGTCCCTTGATCCTGCGAGTATTACCCGAATCCGGAACCATTTATACTCCGCAAGAAAGCCCTACATTCCCCGTATATCACCGTTTGTTAGCGGTTATACTACTCATATAGGGATCTGAACAATCATAGCGAGTTAGGGGGTTTTCTAAACGTGCAATAAGAATCTATTACTGATACATTAATGCAAGCTTCTATACTGACCCTCGGGCCCTAAACACTTATAGTATCCCTTACAGGGCTTCTTCAAAGCAACCCTAATCGAATTACAAGGCCCCTTAGGACAGAAGTGCTCCTCAGGAGGGAAGAAATCTGGCGCACGCAGCTGTCGCAAAGCATCGGGCGTTTTCCGTCGCTGAAACCTTAGTCGGCAAAGGCCTACCGTTACTATCACAGTTACTATGGAGGAGCTATGAAGCCCGAGGAAAAGCTTTACAAGTGCTTTGGTGAAGGCTTTCTGGAGAATAGGGAACCTGAAGGCCTCGATCGTCGACTCACCTCGAGGCCTTGACAGATTGAGCTGGCATTTGGGATGTAAGGGCTTCGGCACCGGAATCATAGTCTGCCGTGCAGCTCACTTTGTCTATCCTGGACTGATGCTCGAACTATTTCAGTCCCGGAAGGGTTAGGTTGATTCATGCCAATGCTGCAAGGGCCTTGTATCTCGTCGGTAGCTCAACCGGCGCTCTAACCGAATGCCCATGACAGGCCTAAATGGGACATGACAACATGTTACTCCAAGACTCGGGGTGGGTATCATGGTGGGCGTTGGCTTGCGCAATATATGTCGCGAGCGTGGCATCCTGGTAAGCGCAGTAGAAGGAATGGACGAGTAAATATATATCGAGAAGTGTAAGCGTACGGCCGGAGTATGTATGTTTTTGTGTATACGTGTACCTACACACACATATGAATATGTATATATAGATACAGATAGAATAACGGAACTATATGAATATGTAGAGAAATCGAAACTTCACTGGTAAGTGCATGAATGCATGAATGACTCCGTAATTGGGGCATACATATGCGCAGCCTGACCGTAGCTCCAGGCCAAGCTTAAGAAGATACTCACAGGGTCCAAGTACAGATGCAGGAGGCTCCTTGTAGATATTCTGGGCCCCAGAGCATGTATCAAAGTATCTGCTATACTGTATCCATAGGCCCTAATGTAGTTCCTTTTTGGGGTTCATATATAGAATCCTATAAGGTAACCCCAAAAGGAACTACTATGGGACCTATGTGTAACTTGGACCCTTTGGGACACTCTCAGCTGCGGCCGGCGGGCATCAGGCTCGAGAGGGTCTGGAAACCTCGGGCTGCGGGGTGTTTGACCATCACCTATAGTCTCCATTGCAGTTCCTTTTTTTGGTTTAACCAAATATATATTAACGATTTTATAAGGTATCCCCAAAGAGGAACTACAATGGAGACTATAGGCAGGATCTCCTTGAACGTTCTGACCGTGCCATAAAGGAGCTTTAGAAAAGAGTGGTACGCACTTTCTCCAGGTGTCCTTAGGTTTGAAATTCGGCTTCCTTACATTGAGAAACTCCCATACGAAAGTGCAGGGCTTAAGCTTTTAGAAGACTTCAGAGTTTAGGGCTTCAGGCTTCCGAGGTTCAGGGCTTTAGGCTTCAGAGGACTAGGGGTTCAGGGTCTAGCTTTGTGTAGGGCTTCGGGCTTGTGGCTGTGTTTACGTAATTACACTTAATTAGGACCGCTACAAATTCTAAAGATCTCTGAAGTATGAGGCTCAACATTTATTTCAAAACTGGCTTTGGCCCAGAAGCCAACGCGCGCTGAGCCTTCCCGCTCCGGAAACACAACCTTCGACGAAGTTTGAGAAGTAGACGAGGTTCAGGGTTTGGACTGCATTTTGATCTCCGAATCCGGCGTTCGTGGATCTTGGTTTCGGGATGTCGTGTTTTGGAATCCCAAGTCCTAAGGCACTGTGCACCCAACATCTGGCAACCTGAGCGACGACAAAACCTGGAGCCCCCAAAACCAGCCACTACAAGGCTTGACACGCCTTAGAACTCTGAACATATCTGAGTATCGTATCAATCGTCATGGATCCGTCAGCAACCTTGTCTGTATGTGTATGAGTATATGTATGTGCTGTATGTGTTGCATATTTGCATGTATGTATGCATGTACGCATGTGTGCGTGTATGTATACGTGAAAATACACACAGACATAATATCTCTATAAATCTATGTTTAAATATGTATTTGCATGTCTAGTTACATGTACATTCGTATTTATATTTCTGTTGATCTTTCTACCCATAATACCATGATAAAATATCTTCTGGGGTTCTATGCATGTACACTTTGCCTCTTGGACCCTTCAGCCGCAAGCTGCTGTTGTCAGGAAGGTTCGTTTCTCTTCTGAGGGCTTCCATGTGAAATGTTAGGGTTTAGGGTTTAGGGGTTCAAATTCCAGGTTCAGAGATGTTTAGGGTTTCAGCCTTCACAACTGACCGAGCATAGCCCGACAAAGTCCGTGATATAAGCGATAAGCCCGACATAGGCACTTTAAGCCAAAACAACCCTCCACAATGCAGGAAATGACTCGTTCCACTCTTGCAGTAACTCCATGCCATGTCAAAATTCGGCATGGATGCACATGCAAAGAAGTCCCAGGAAGACACTCCCGATCCGAAACAAGCCTGGCAGAGCCATCCGGACCAGGCCCTGAACTACCCTGAAGGCCTATTTCTGGAAGACCTAGGCCCTGAAGATCTATAGAACCCTAAACCCTAAGCCCTAAACCCTATAGACCTATAGAACCCTAAACCCTGAACCCTAAGTCCTAAGACCTACACCCTATAGAACCCTAAGCCCTAAGCTGGCCTTACAAAGGCGACTCTCCTTGTCCACGGAGATCACGTGCCCCTCTGTGCGATCGCGCTTCAGCGCCACGGTGTCGAACCTGACTCAAAATGGAAATTTAATCATAGGCATAAGGGGGGTATTATATGCTCATAGAATAACTGTATTGGTTTGCGTGCATTATGGTGTCATTGTAAACGTCTGGCGCAGATTGTAGCAGAATGCCCAGGCAGTGTCGTACACAGTATGAGCTTGAGACTTTCTGAGTAAAGAGAGTTGCCTTTATTATCGTGGCCACGAGGCACCCGCGCAAGGGCTGAGGTTTTAGGGTTTATGGGTTTAGGGTTTAGCCATAGGCCCCATAGTAGTTCCTGTTCGGGGTTACCTTATAGGGTTCTATATATGAACCCCAAAAAGGAGCTACTTTAGGGCCTATGGGTAGATTGGCGCACTCGCAACGCAGGCACGGATCAAAGCGACGAGTTCAGCGAGATTGATACGGGGACATCTGCCTGCAGCTTCAGAGCCTATATCAAAAGCAAGAACACAGCAAACAGAACCACATATACTCGATCACGAAGCCTTGAGCAGAGACGTTGTCCTATTGTAGGGTGCATCCTCCCTCTGCAAGTAGTGGGAAGGACTGTCGCGGTTTAGGCCTCAAGGCAGTTTGCGTACTCGCTTTGGCAGGTGTGCAGCTTTGGGGCTTTCTTCGGTGTAAGGCTTCAGCTTCGGCTTGAGGGTTCGGGATATATGTTTATGAGGCTCTGTCCCTCTTCCATGGATTGGTATGGGTATTTTAGGCACCTCATATATATATATATATATGTATATAGGAGTCCTGAGGAAAAGCAAAGCCAACTTACAGGTTCATATAGTCAAAGGGTCTTCCTCAACAATTCCTGCTTCAGCATTTCGGCAGGTATTTCGTACTGATAAACGAGTCAATGACATTGGGGTGGGCTCCTTTATCAGCACTCCCTCATTGAGGCAACCCTTAACTCATATATAAACCTCAACTAGACTTCAAGCTCGAAACCCTAAACCCGAAACACGTAAACCCCGAAACCCTGCGTAGCCCACACCTCTCCAGAGCGAGATCGAGAAAGCCAATCTTGTCCTCCACTGGAAATACGATCGAAGAGATCCTACCTACAGAAGGGAACC